TTATATATAATATATATATATATATATATTATTTTTTTTTTTTTTTAAATACCTGTTGATCAATCTAATTGCTCAAAACCAGAATCGGCCACTGGCTGGTTCCAATCTAACTGGACGGCTAACCATTAGATTGGGCGATTTTGCCAACTATTTAAGCGATTTGGGTTCGTTTTGATTGTGGTCGTTCCCTGTTGACTATGGACGGCTGAGATCACATGTACTCTGACTAACAAACTCCTTCCAAAATTCTGTGTTGTTCACCCGCACTTAAATGTTTCGAAAGGAGTTAGGTGTATTTCATTTCAAACCCTTCCCATTCCAAAAATTAAGCGACTTTATGGGTTTTTTAATTTTATTTTTACATTTACGTTGGGTTTATAGTTTTTTTTTTTTTAGGTTATTTTTATGTGTTTTTAGCCGTAAAGATTTAAGAGATAAAATTAGAAGCTTATTTTTTTAAAAAAAAATAGATATGGACAAAGACGGGAATGGTTGAGTTAGTTAGGATATGTTTTTTTAGAGATAAGGGAGAGATAATGTTTGGTTTGTTATTTTTATTTTTTATTTCTGGTAAGTTTGTATTTAAAGAGAAACAATAAAAAAAAAAAATTGATCTTGTGAAAAGATCTTGCAGACTCGTCTGCAAAGAAGTATAATTTCTTAAACTTTTATTTCATTGTTATTTTTTAATTTATTATTATTTTTCTTGTATCACTTTCGAATCTAAAATCTCAAAGGCCTCTAATCTTAACTTCCACGATTAGGATTTAAGAACACGTGAAATGATGAATTAAACCCATCCCAAGGACCTCCCAAACCGCCTTATCAGGTCAACTCAATGGACAATGCACTTAAATGGGAAGAAGAATCAAAACGCAATGAATCCCTAGAAGGTAATAAGGGCAAGGGTACACCTCCATCAACAACGGCACCCCAAGACCAAGAAAGTCCACTAGGTGGCATGTGAATCCCCATTCATAGAGAGAAACTAAGAGGGGTGCCACTGAGTCAAGAAACAAAACCTAAAGGGACTCAAATCCCCTGCAATTGACAAAAACCGAGCAGGGGCAACCCCATCTAACCAATTGACAAAGGCACTACTGAAACGCGAAGGGGCACAAGTCCCCACTATCGAATACCCGACACAGACAACCTCATTTAGCCATTTGTTAGGGTCTGTGGACAATGAAACAACATGGGTGATCGATGAGGTTGTAGCCTCATCTAGTTCACCCATCCCGACACTCCTTAAGGCAATCAAATGGTATCACATTCACCCTCCTAGTTGGAGAAGTCTCATCCGCACTTGAGTACTGAGGATGAGCCTGACGAGGAACTGATTCTAAAAAGAAAACAACAACCCGAGTTACTAAGTAAAATAGATCATAAGAAGGAAATATGATGATCACTCATCTTCTTTAGTAACGAAGTGAGGCCTTTGTGCCCACTTAGGCTCAATACTCCAAGATATTAAAGCCCAAGTGAGCACAAATCCAAACGATTTTTAAAATCAGCCTTCTAAAGTTAGAACACACCAGGACCAAAAATTCTATCTGTCAGTCCTGTGTCTTTGGAATCATTAATCCAAGTACCAACATGCACCACCATGTTATGGAGCCACAAACGGGATAGTTCAAGGTTACCTGCTAAATGGTATCCTTCACACACCTAGTCTTGATACCCTTATGCAGGGACAATTCAAATTTTTTAAATAAAAGTTAAATTTTATTAAACCCCAAAATTTAATTAAAACACACCTAACACATGTTTCGGGATAGGTAACAAGAAAACCTCTTTAAGGATAAAATCTCAAATGAGCTTTGCAACCCTAGCGAAGGATAAAAGGACTGAGAGTGGCCCTGAGTCCAAAGAGTCCAAGGTTCAAGTAAAGTATTCTAAATGGATCCGACATCAATTCATCGACCATCATCAAGAAATAGTCGGATACCAACCGAAGTGCACACGAGGATACCAAAACATGGGCCTCTCTACAGCCCAAAGAACGGGGAGATGATCGCAATTTTGGAGGGAATGCAAGGGAGTTTTTACCTGATCTTAGGGCGACCGGCTACAAACAAGTATCGCCGATCTCCAGAAAAAGAGAATTTACAAAGAAGGGCCAATCTGTATGTAGAAATCCTCAAGAGTCAGACAAGAATTATCTAGTTCCAAAAGTACCAAATCTCAAGCACCAAGCTGATTATAAGCAGTGGTCATTCAAAAATAAAATAGAGAAGAATAAAAAGAGACAAAAAAGAAGGAAAAAAGAGCCATCGGGCTAAACACCAAACAAGCACCTCACGAATGTAAAATAATAATAATGATAACAATAAAAAACAGGAGGACTAAACATCTTTCAAAAGCAACATCAGTATAGAGAAGAATAAAAAGAGTGAAAAAAGAAAAAAGAGCCACCGGTCTAAACACCAGAAAAGCACCTCGCAGATGTAAAATAATAATAATGATAACAATAAAAAAGAGGAACCTCGGCCATCCAAACTTCAAGAGGTTGGTTGTGGGGGAACGACATTGGAAAACCAAAGAGATCCTGAATAACCTGAGCCAATATCCCATATTCTACAAGACATAGTTTGTATAAAAACCTTGAAAACCTTTCTTTGGTTTGTTGCATGAGACTAGGATCAAAGCGCAAGAGGCTACTTGATAATTCTTTTTCCTGAAAGTCCTCGCTAAGCTTAGCTTAGCTCATAAAAATTTATTAACAAAACAAATCCTTAAAGAAAAATGCTTGGGCATAAATTATTTTCACAAATTTAGCTTCTAGGAGTCGACTTTGGGTAGCAAAAAGTCTTCAAAAAAATAAATTCCATTAAAAGGGTCACAAGTGGTTAACCTACAAGACCCGCCTTTACAAAAGAAAAAAAAAATTAAAAATCTTTCAAAAATGTTATTTTCACAAATTTTTAATCTTTTTTTTTAAATTTGTCAAAATTTTCAAGAAATGCTCCATGATTACATGTGTCTAAACTGCTATCCAAAATATTAATTTGTCTGTCAAAATTACTATTTCAAAATTTCTTCAAAATATTTTCTTGAATTTTATTTTTAAAATTTTAAAAATAAGCCCCAAAGTGGCAATGGCCTTTTTACATCCATCACTGTATAATGCTCAGAAGGCTCCACAGTTGCATGAGCTTAAACAGTTGACTATGTCGATTTCAAAATCTCCAATTATCCAAAAATTTCCTTCAACTTTGTTAATATCTAATTCCTTATTTTTCATCTCTGAATTTTCGAACACCAAATGCTAGGATAATCCTGATTTGGATGCTTTCAAAATTCTTTGTCTGTCATTTCAAAAACTGCAATTTCTTTTATTTTAATTCATAACACAACGCTAGTATCCGTTTTTAAAACTTCTATTTATTTTCAAAATTTTCTAAAAGCATTTTTTTAAATATATCAACCTGAAAGATGACACTATCTTGTCATTCAAAGTCTAACTATGAGATCTAAGAGGATTGTTTGATCTAGAGAATTAAGAGTACAATGGGGAAGATAAAAAACTATGAAAAACCCTTCAAACTCATCATGTCTTCTTAAACCTTCCCAAAAGATTTGAATATATATATATATATATATATATAAGGAAATGTCTATATATCTTATTTTACTTCTATACTCCATCAGACTAC